TTTGTATAGATAAAGAATTTTTATTTTTAACCCAAAAATATATATCTGTGTGATGATGTTTTTTACACTGCATTGTAAGAAATAGGAAGCCATAATGACGTAAAAATTCCATAATGGAACGAGATTTGGCCTTAAAAGCTTTAGTAAAAAGCATAACCAATAAAGTGATGATAATGATATAGTAGTGAATAATGAATTCGTACAGGTGCAAAAAAGAATCATGTATGAAAAATCTAGAAATGACTGATTGTATCATATACGAACTTAGCAGAAAAAGCACAATTAAAGCATTATATTATTGCACAATGGTAGGCATTTCTTACTAATATTAAGTCTAAATGTCTGCAAAAAGAATATATATATATATATATATATATTAGGTAAAAAAGAAGTCAAGAAAGAAGTTTCACTGTTCCAAACTCAAGTTTTCTGATACGTATGGTCAATGGGCAAGCCGATAGGTCTAGATGTAGGTATCAGACGACTGTATATGCCTGGTGGATAATGAAGTGTGATGGACGAAGGCAATAGACAAAGTAGGACTCGATTGAGTATCATAGCAGTGATGCCCCAAATGCGCGGCCAGTCGAGAGTTTGTACAGTTTGTCCAAAGGCTGGAATAAGGTAGCGATAGTCATCAGAGTAGTGGGGATAAGATGAAGATGATGGGGAGACTTTGGTAAGAGAATGTGCAGGTTGGTCCGAAATAACAAACGGATTGCGATAGCGAGCCATTCGAAACTCAGTATAGGAGAGAGTTCCAGGGGAGCAGAGCCAGTCAAGCGACCTGAAGAAGATAGCCTCCACTTCTTTAGGACTGGGTGATAGACACTGAGCAGTATCGCTTGGTATCAGATCATGTGACGAAGTATTTGGGCTGGAATTGATCTCAGTCTCCTCGAGAAGATGTCCACAAAAGCCAACTACTACGTACACCAAGTGACGAGGCTTGAATTAACCAAAATAAAATAAGGTGAATCACGTAAAAAGTAGATAAAAATTTGTTAATGCTTTAAATAGTTGGAAAATATTTTGCGTATATAACTGAGAGCCTGTAAGAACACTAAAAAAAACGTTTACGTGCATAATTTTTTTGCCAACTATAAATAAACTTAACAAAAATTAAAGAGAGAAATTGGGAATAGAATGGATTAACAGGAAAATATAAATTGTAGCTAGCATTCTAGGGGCGCTCTAGGAAGCAAAACTTTAAATCTTTACTATGACCGAGCCAATCATTTTAGCATGGACAGTAAAGGTAACGATCTGTTAATTTTTTACAATACGCTTTAAATTGAGGAAACGTACAACCAACTGATATACCCTTTATTTATGTTGCCGAATAAAAGATGGAAAAACTCTGTGAAAATAGGGCAAGGTCGGAATCCACAATAAGAATAACAAGAACTAAATTCAAATTCATCTAACCTAAGTGATAATTTCAAGCTATCTCTGCCGAGCAGCATGAAGCAGATATAAATTAAAATCGGAAGACTTATACAAAAATAGAATAAAAGGAGGCAAAAATTGTATTATAATAAGTTATAATCAATTAATCATCATAATAAATCTACCTAACTATAAAAACCTTTTATAAAAAAAGACAATTTTTTGTTGTATATGTACAAGTATATAAAAGTGAGTTGAGGTAATTTGCAGAAATGAAAGAGCATCTATTTAATGTCAGGAGGTGAAAGAGAAGTTGCCACGATAAGACGCCAGCGTGACGAAGTTCTGTACATAATTTGTTGAGATTTATATCAGGCTGCTCTCAAGCCCTATTTACTGTGATTAAGTTTATGTCGATTAAATCATTTAAAATGTATGTAAAAGCAATAAATTAAAGTATATAAAAATCAAAATGCATAGTTTGGTAATTTAATAATTAATGATGATATAAGTATCGGTATTTTGGAGTAAAATGGTCTATTTAAACCCAGTTTTCAGCCTCAAGGAGAAAACTAATTATATAAATAACTACATTTCCCTCAAAATAATCATTTAAGAGCATAGTAACGACGACTTACTACCCTAGGCTAGAAAAAATAATCCTTTCGAAACATGGGAAGGCTCCTTTATTGTAATCTAGGTAGGGACAATTAGTAAACACAAGTTACACATAAAGAAAACGTTTCGTCTAATAATAGTT